AAAAAAAAAAAAAAAAAAGTCCACATCAAGCATTGGAATGGTAACAGGCCAACTACCCCAACTTCACAGCACCCCCATCTAAACTGGATCTGAACTTCCTACCTTGGGCCTATAGAAGACGTTCTGCACAGACAACATGGATACAATGGTCAGCATTTCCTCACTGCAGCCCAGATGCACAGACATGATGAGCATTTTGCATAGCATTGGCTCCAGAGGGAACTCTGCCATCTAGAGGGAGAAAAAAAACTACAACTGCTTCCCTGTGGAAGACACATTCGGATTCACCATAGCAAGACCTTGGTCAGAGTGGGTAACAACACAGATTTTCCCAAAGCATAATGATGCCTTGGGATGCCTTTCACTATCAGAAGAATGCTGTTGTTTATTATTTTCCCAAATAAACTCCAACAGGATGTATGTGACCAAGCACATAACTACTGCCGGGGTAGGTGAGAATTTTGCAGATGCCATTTCTAATTAAGGCCACATTCAGTAATACATCCTGAGGCAAATTAACTGTGAACAGAACACCTTTTTGTATAAAGAAGAAACAGTTTAAAGTGATAGTGGAGAAATTCAGGTTAAAAAAAAACATTTAGAATTCTACTCAAAGCTTATCCATGGCCTCAGCCTGATTTTGTACAGACCGAAGGATGTGAAAGGCTGACCAGGGAATCTGCCCAAAAGCACAGGAAGTTAAGTCTGTCCTTTACCCGGCGGCCCAAGCGAGTAAGCAGGCCCTCGTCATCCAGGGCTCCCAGCGTGTACAGCTGCTCCATGGCTGTGATCAAAGTTTCCATTGGTGGGGCATCCATGAAATCAAAGGACAGCAGATCATTGATACCCATGGCCTAGAACAGAAAGGAAGAAGGCATGTGATAAGGGGGTCAGTCTAGCCAGTGTCAGCATGTGGGGAAGCTACTTCTTACTTTATTTCTCATTTCTTCAATTGCAATTAGGAAGCCACTGGTGAGATTGGTGATAACTTCCAGGGCTGGGCCACATAAAACTCAGACCACTATAATAGAAAGCACATACTTGAGACAGAGTCTCACTCTTGTCGCCCAGGCTGGAGTGCAGTGGCCCAATCTCAGCTCACTGCAACCT